TTGTTTTATCCGTCTGTTACCAACCCCTCCTACCCACCACGCCCCTTATGTCAACCCTCAGAAAAAAGAAGCAAACGGACAAAAACCAACGAAACAGAAGAACTGACCCCAGAATAAGTCCTGCGCAAAAGAAGGTTCTTAACTTATATCGAGAAAGGAGACCTTTACCGGTCCTTTACCCACGCAAATTTTTTTTTTTAATCGTTAACTTTGACCCGCACCCCCACCCTGCTCCATTCCCCCCTCGCTCCATTTGCAATACAGTTTACTCTTTACTGCTGAAACAAATGTCCCTTGACTAAATTCCGAAGGGACTAAATCAGACAACCCATTTTCAATATACCGCCGCCTCTCGTCTACTTCCACCTCAAGGATAGACTTGGAAAGATGTATTGATGGATAGATGGATAGACGGATGGAGCGAGAGAAAGACAGAGAGAGAGAGAGAGAGAGAGAGAGAGAGAGAGAGAGAGAGAGCTTACGTGCGATGGAAATATCAGGCTAAATCTAGCTGAAATCTTCTTATTGCAACATCAGTGTCCACCAACAGATGCAAAAGGCACTCTTTCACAGCACACAAGGTGTGAAATTCTGTTACCTATTCCTTTATAACTCTCCTACCGACATTGACATGTCTTCGATCACTCTTGCATTTTAGAATAGTTCAGATTTGTAACAATATATTTTATTCAAAATAAATACACTCAAGGCAAAGCTGAGTTAGAATAAAGTGAGGCAGTTCACACATCATACTCGAATGCACTCCTAATAAGGCATTGAATGACAACATTTATGTTCTAAGAAGGGCGGACTGGAAACGGCGTACAGTTCGTGCATGTCTCGTTCAATGTAATTCTGCTGTAAAATACAGGAAAAGATGAATGTACACTGGTGTCAGTGAAGCGCACTATGAAAATACGGTGATTACAATATTCATGAGGTATTGAAACATGTAACCATAATTTGTCCATGTGTCATGATGAGCCAAAAGAAATGATTTCAAGCCTCATTCGGACTATCAGTTTCTAACAGTGTAGCAGTGTAGAGATAGTGTATAAGCCAGCCGGAGGGGCACTAGCCAAAAGATCTTTTGCTTTGTGTCTGACTGGGCCCATTAGTTCAATTACTAATATAAGAAATTATCATGTACGATGAAATTAAACGTTAAAAAAACCCCCTCTGAATTTTTGGTCAAGTAAAAGGAAAATAAGTTTCATAAACTAGTTTATTGGGCTCCATTGTTGTTGAAAAGCTGACAAGTGAGTATTAGCACTAGTTTGACGTCTTGCTCCACCATGCTTGTAAACGCCGAGTGGGTCATCAAAATGCAAGCGCGACCCAATAAAGACCTAGACACCAATAACTGCAAACATTTGAACAAGCTAAATCAGAAGGAAAATACAACAATCCTATTGGTTAATTCTGTGTCTCCTGAAGAATGGCGCTCAAATTTATATTCAAAACAAATTAACTCGTCAAAACAGATAAGCTTAGAGATGAAAGAGTCATCATCGCCTCTTTAAAGTTCAAAGGCTGACAAAGTGCCGTTTTCATTTCGAACAATATGACATCGTAAGTACATGCATTAAATACAAACTAGAAATGCACTGCAGCTCATAAGTAATACATAGGAGTTTGATGAATCATTTGTGTCTCTACACATTTGCAATTCAGAACTCAAAGTAGAATTGCTATTATGCACGGAAGAAAATAAGTGGTTGAATCATATAGCATGTAGTTTGGTCGACACAGGTCTCCAAGAAAGTAATGCAATAAACAGAAGTGAAAACAAAATCCACACAAAGCAAGAATAATCTTCTAAGGGTCACCGTGCGTTTTTGTCCTCCCTGAATCATTCACATCATTATTCAAGCAAACGTTACACCCGCCTTTACCGTACATACAAACAATATCAGACTCTTATCCCACACACATCGGGCTGATAAGTTGAAATGCTCACACTCAAAGATCATGATTATCAGAAAAAGCACCCTGGTAGATTTGCAAGAGTTGTAACTTTTTCTGGGTTGTTGACTAAAAAATTCGGCGAACTCATTGATGGGAACCAAAATCAGACTAAAGTTGAAGAAATGAGAGACTTTATGACTTTGAATATCATACTTCAAAAGTGATGTTCTCTGAAAAGCTAAATTTTCATAGTTTTTCCAAGCTTATCAAGCGTTAAGTAATCTTCATTTCAGTAACAAATCAATATTTAGGCACCTACTTACAGCGACTTGTAAGACACTCTTGCAGCGTCTATGGAGCGAAACGTGGCTCGCTAAACTCTTTAAGATCAGTTTATTACGGCTCGGGACGACTGATCACAACATGGGAACAACTTTCCATGTCTCCCCCAAGACAGGAAGTTGAGCCAAAGTCTTGTACATCAGTCGATAAAGAACAGAGGTCCGCACTGATGAATGAAACTTCGTCCGGTTTCCGGAAGACTGGTCTACGACTTGGCAGACTTTGTGAGTCGTGCTACACTGCCCACGCCAGTCCTCTCACAGACTGAGACGTGCTAGACAAAGGCTATTATGCTCATGTCAGGGTAGGAATACAGCCACAATGAGTAAATAAAGCAAGAAAAGAGCAGTGACCCCCCCCAAACCAAAGTGTACACTGCACTTTTCGTACAAACCTTGGTTACATAATGGATTCTTGAACAACAGACAGGAGAATATAATATATTTATATGATGGAAAATAATTGGGCGAGCGATGTGTTAAACTCATGTTAATAGTAGCTGTTATCCGTCCGATGTACTTCAATTTAGAGTGTTCACTGTATCCTCATAGTGTGAATACATCCTTGAAGAGTCATCCATTCGGAACAATTAAGGAAATAGTGTACGAAGACGTCATATTGTGTCGTTGTTCAAACTACTTGAAGTTGAATGCGCACAGGTTATGTTCTGGCTGATGCCCTTTTTAGCGCAATGCAGAAAGGGTTGGAGGCGCCCTGCTTCCACCCGGCTTGTCCGTGCCAAACCGGGCTATACGGGATGCATCCCAGTAGAAAAACGGAAAAATGTTTTACAAAATTTATGTTCAAATCTGGGAATAGGACTCACGTCCTCCGTACACAAGGTCTAACGCTGAAGTATAACAACTCTCACACTAGGCAATGTTCTGTAGAATGTACACCATCCTCTTGTGTTGAGACACAAGAGACCAAAACGACATGCATGCCATGGTGAATTGTCCAAAACCTTTCGAAGAACAGGTGATGGGCTTATTTCGGCAAAGTCAATACTTTGTTTAAGTAAACGTACCAAATGAATCATGTTAACATCAATTTGAGTGTCCTCACAATAGTCTATCAAAAGCATTCGACATGAGGAAAACAACCTAAGCTCAGTCCTGAGACTATCCCAGGATCACAGATTTGTGTCCACGACACGAGAGGGGGGCTTCTAGTCAGCTGTGACTGGAGCACAGAGATCTGTCATGGTGCCATTGCTTTGTCCGAGATCAGAACACTAGACGTAACATTTCCAAAACCTTAAAAAATATTCCCCAATGACATGGCTGAGATTGGGAGAGTGTAGATAGATAGATAGATAGATAGATAGATAGATAGATAGATAGATAGATAGATAGATAGATAGATAGAGAGATAGAGAGATGGGGAGAGAGATGGGGAGGAGGGGGAGAGACAGAGGGAAAGAAAGAAAGAAAGAGAGAGAGAGAGTGTGTGTGTGTGTGTGTGTGTGTGTGTGTGTGTGTGTGTGTGTGTGTGTGTGTGTGTGTGTGTGTGTGTGTGTGAGAGAGAGAGAAGGGGGGGGGGAGGGAGGAGTTGAGACCAGTGCGCAAAAAAATGATACCTTCCGAGATTCCTGAGCGACTTTATGGGTCCCTGAAAATACCACCACCATCTTTTTCAGCCCAGTTAATGATTAAAATAAATGATACATACGTACACATGGGAGCATTGGCCTCAATAATTGCAGTAATAACAATAACAAGAATAGTAATAATAATGATAATAATAATGATGATAATAATAATAATAATAATAATAATAATAATAATAATATCATGATAATAAAATATAATAAAAGATAACGGTAGTGATTAAAAACAATCACGAAGACACATTTTGCGTAATTAATGATGGCATGCCAATAGATAAAATTGCTATATAAAATGGTCACATCAACATTCCGATAGTTGTAATGGTAAGTACAGTATAAACAACGTATCAGTATATTGAGATACATTATGCTACGTAATATTATGTTGTAAATCTCAAGTCTTTGAGGCTCTCCTCGCCTCTCACCCGTGTCATGTTTGTTTTCTTTGTTTTTTTGTCCTGGGGATACGTTCTCACGCCATCTTGATACAGAAACAAGGCCATCCTAATTGACGAGCCGGGCCAAAAAAGCGAAAACACACACACACACACACACACACACACACACACACACACACACACACACACACACACACACAAATACAGTTAATTATCCATGTGTCCTCATGGCAAATGATGGAGTTTTGGTCCAACATTGCCTCAAGGGTCCATGTCCTGCTTACCACGGAGTACCAGCCGGATCAGGATTTGAGACACGTCACAGTGGCAGCAGAAGAGGCCTCGTCACAACCAGGTATATTGCGTTCAGTATAGCCATAAGCAGAGTTAGCAGTGCTCTGACTTCGCGTTGCGTGACAGTAATAATGAATCTTGCGAGACGTCCCACGGAGAGAAAGCAGAAGGCGGTACGCAGATAGTTGTCATCTGGGCTACAACACATCTCCCCGAGAAGCATCCGTTGGCAAATTATTCTGAGTGAGACAAGCAGAGAACAATTGCGACTGTTGGTTTGTGAGACGTCACTTCGCAAGACATTCCGAAGAAGCACAAAAGAAGAGTCCGCTCGTAATGTCGTTAGGAGCACGATCGCTGAACGACTTGCCACTGAGGCAAAACTCAGTCTCCATCTTTATCTCTCTCTCTCTCCTTTTATTTTTCATTCTCTCTCTCTTTCTCTCTCTCTCTCTCTCTCTGTTCTCTCTCTGTTCTCTCTCTCTCTCTCTCTCTCTCTCTCTCTCTCTCTCTCTCTCTCTCCGTTAACACGAAGAAGGACTGGAGTCGCTCTCACTTGGCCGTATCAACCGATCCGTGGACTTCTGGTGGATGCAAACGTTGATTCGCATGTTGTCCCGTCGTGGGGACACCTTCTTCACGCCCTTCAGCATGGCCTGGGACGGGCTGGTGGAGGTGGAGGTGGGGCCGGAGCGACCAGCGTAAGGTCTCAAGTCCCCGCCACTGACAGCCGCCGTGGCGCCGCTCATGGAGTCGGAGCTGACCGGAGAGGTTGGGCTGTGGGGGTCCGGGCAATCCGTGATGGCGCCCGGGATGGGGGAGCTGCTGTTGTCGCTGTGGGTGAGGGGCACGTCGATGTCCTCGAGGACAAGGTAGTCTCGGTCCTCGATCAGGAGGTCCTCTAGCATGAGGCGGAGTTGAGTAAAATTAGGTCGGTCCGTCGACTCGTCTTCCCAGCACGCTCGCATGATGGCGTACCTGAACAGAGACGAGGCACTGTTATTCAACCTGTGGCGTTACGTTATGGGTTCTACGCCTTTCCCAACATAATTAAAGTAGGATTTTCCTTTTTTTTCAATGTAGAACTTCCCATTCTAATAATTTTTTGTTTTGTGTTCCCCTTTAATCCTAGATATAGTTGAAACAGTTAGTTTTAAGTGATTCAACTCTCAGTGTAACTGGTTACAAAATAAAGCCTAGTCCGTATTTATTTTTCTTTAAAAAAAACAAAAACAACAAAACCCCACCCCCCAAAACCCCCCCCCAAAACAAACAACAACAACAAAATAATTTAAAAAACCCAAAAACAAAACAAATTTAAAATATAGATTCCAGAACTTGAGTAACATTCCGTTGACTTACAGTTCCTGTGAGCAGTTGCTGGGTCTGTCCATGCGGTAGCCGTTGGACAGGACGTAGTAGAGATCCGCCAGAGCCACGTTGGGGTACGGGGAGGCACCTGTTGGAAACAGAACGTTATGAATGTGGTGAAATACAGAGACATCCAGCTCAGCGATTAAGTTAAAAAATCAATCCAGCTCTTTGTCTAGTTGTTGTTGTTGTTATTGTTGTTGTTGTTGTGGTGGTAGTGGTGTTGCTACTGTCGTTGTCGTCGTCGTCGTTGTTGTTGTTGTTGTTGTTGTTGCTGTTGTTGTTGCTGTTGTTGTTATTGTGTGTTGTTGTTGTTGTTGTTATCGATCCAGAGTAAATTAAAGAAAGTGTATTACATACATTCGAATCTGCTCTTACAGCCACCTGTCTAAAGCAATTGGTGCAGGGGAAGAACCACGACAAAACAACTAGAAATGACAGTCGGGGAAAAGGCATACTATGACCTGTCAGTGAAGCTCTCCGACCACCTACACAAAAGTACAGACAGAAGACTCTAACATCTACCATCATTGCTTTAATTATAGAAGCATCAGCTATCTATGTCTACTTGCTGTTTAGCCTGTCTTTAACTACTATTTACTTGTAAAACCTCTAAGTCTAGCGACTCACCCATGGTCACAATCTCCCAGAGCAAAATGCCGAAGGACCACACGTCCGACTGAGTGGTGAACATCCGGTCTCTCAGAGACTCGATCGCCATCCACTTGAGCGGCAGCTTGCCATTGGTCAACTTCTTGTAGTGGTTGTCGTTGAAGATGTCACGTGACAGGCCGAAATCGCAGACTTTGACCACTTTGTTGTAGTCGATGAGCACGTTGCGAGCCGCCAAGTCTCGGTGGACGTACTTCTTCTCCGCTAGGTACTCCTGAAAGAACGATTGGTCAGAGTCAGGTCGATTGATTTGTAAATGTGTTAAGCCTCTGTCGATACAATTCAGACCGTTCAGGAGGCCTGTTGCTTTGACTTTGCATGTTAGGGTTAATCCAGGATGAATGGGATATGGCAGCCCAAACAGAAAAGGCAAGCACCCTATATTTAAGAAAAATAACAACAAACAAACCCTTCGAAAAACAAAACACACAAAAAGAAAAAAAAAAGAGGGAAAAAACCAACAACTTGAGAAACGTCATCAAGCCACTGACGTCAACAAGTTTTGATATCTATGCATTTTAAACATTTCAAACGTGCATAATTAATTTCGGCACATACCACCTGAATGTGCTGTACAGTACAAAAATACCAAGAAAAAAAGAAATTGCATGCCATGCAAAAAGGAGGCTCTTCTCCCTCTAGAAAGTGTCTATGTAAGACATGACAATGTGTGTGTCCAGTTTTCAAACGGGCACAAATGACCCTTTCTCTTTTTAGAAGAGACACCAATTTCTAGAGAGAAAGGTTGTTATTGTGTTTGTTGTAAATGTCTTGTCTCCCCCCCACCCCCCGACTCCCCCATTTCAACAAATTCAAATGACTCTTTGGGTTCGGCACATACGCCGATAGTGCGCCTTGCCATCTGCCCAACTCTTAGAACAGTAAGTACGTAAAACATTGCGTAGCCTAAGACCAAAAATATTCTCATTAATGTTTTTGAGCTGAAACACTTCTATTCTGATGTCAAAACTGATTGGTCTAAAATTTCAATCTTACCCTAAACTATCCTGGAACCAAGTCCGTAAAAAAACAAAACTGTTGTATGATGAACATGAGTTAGCCGCTGCAGTATTCTCGAGTTTCTAAAATGAAAGCTGTTTTCAGAAACGAATCAGCCGTATAAGGAGCCGCTTTGAGAGTAACAAATTCTTCATAAGAAATATGATATTATTATCATTATCATTATTATTATTAATGTTATAGACGAGACTGCCTTTATAAAGTGCTCCCTTAAGCTCAAAAGTTTCGGAAGAGCATTTTAGTTTAGTTTAGGGGTACGGAAAAAGTGCAAGGTGACCTTATTCCGCTGATACTGTAATTGGATAATATCATAATATGTGTATTAGCAGGTGTGTGTGTGTGTGTGTGTGTGTGTGTGTGTGTGTGTGTGTGTGTGTGTGTGTGTGTGTGTGTGTGTGTGTGTGTGTGTGTGTGTGTGTGTGTGTGTGTGTGTGTGGTGGGGGGGTGGCATAGTTTAACTATTGGGGAGAAAAGAATAACACCAGCCGTGATACTGCGTGTCGTAAGAGGCGACTAAAGGTGCGTAGGTCTGGTCTCCCGAAAAGTGCCAGTTTGCGAAGGGACCCGACCCTGTTAAAAAAAAGAAAGTTACAGAAACACGAACAAACACGTCTATTTATTTTTCTATCTAGGGAGACAGAAGAGCTTCAGTTTGGTAGGAGTTAATTTTGAATTTTGCCCAGGTGGCCGCCTAAGCCTACTCTTACAAATCGAATTTATGACCAGCTAGGGACTGTTAACGTGCGCAACTTGCAAGAAAAAGTCTCTTACCCTAGAAGGCTAGGTGTTAAATCTTACCTACGCTATGAACAGGGGTGTGGCTGAAAGACAGCAGTAAGAAGGACTCAATTAGTAGCAATAGAAAGGTTGCAGAAAGAGCCAGGAGCCCAGAGGAGGGGGCAAGGGAGGGGGTAGAAAGTGGAGACAAAAGCAGACGAAAGAACATGGTTAGAGAGCAGGAAAGGAAGTGAGAGGTAAAAATTTTCTATCGCTATCACGTTTCGAACCCCAGACTTATTGAATACGAGGCGAACACCGTACCTCTAGACCACGAAAGCCCCAGCCTTTATCTAATAAAGACCAGAAATAATTTGAATACACTAGGTCTCCCCTCCCCTCAAAAAAAAAATCCACGCTGATATTGATATGCTCTTCCTTCTATTTTCATTTTACCAGATTAAAACTGCCCAGTATACACTGTTTTGATCAGATTATTGGAATGATATAGCTTTGACAAGATCAGTTGGTCACATAAGCCTGTATGCACTATGCACGTGCGACACAAACTACGAAATAGCTCATTTGTGCGAGTCTGAGAAGATACTCATTGATCTGACAGTTTGACAATCTTCAAAGCAGCCGCGCCGCGCAGAATGTTGATTGTCCATTTGTCCCTTTCCCCTGAACATTAACGCCTGTGGACTCGATTGTTATTTCCTCGAGCCTCCCACACAGCCACCCCACTAACGCCAACATCTTCCTGTTGCGCCATCTATGAGTGTCCGCCTCCTTAGCTTGACAGGAAACTCGTGAACAGCCTTGTCGTGTGCAGAAAACTTGCCACAACAATAACCATTTTCAAACCGTCTCCTCGATGTCTCTCGCTTTCGAGGTCATTACTATCGATCAAAGGCGATATTTTCTTTGCTAAACGAAACCTCTTCGGCGCATCTAGGGTAATACTGAAAAAGAAACTGGCATTCCAGTACAAGTCAGCATCAGTCTGTCATAATCACAAGGGTCACATTTCTAAAGTGCATTTTCCTTTGTGCTACGAACAAACAGACTGTGACATAATTGTGCCTGCACAGTTATAGTTTAGTTTTTGTAAAAGTTTTACGGCACTTGCAACAACGCAATAAGGTCAGAGAAGTTTCGAAAATTAGAAATTATGTTACAATGGAGTAACAAATACAAAAAAGAAGGGGGAGAGATATACACGTATGAGTTATTAAAATAATGTTCTCCCTGTTGATACGCTATAGGTCATAATACCATAAGAAGCAGGGAGCCATATCTGTGTCCTTTAGCCAACCTAGCCTGTATGGGATTCACTTGAGCAGATAGGCAGAAATAAAATTACATATTCCTCATTTTGGGACTAAAAATCACTTTTTTGGGCCTGCAAAGTAAAATGCATAACCTTCACACTACATATGTCGACAGGAGAGATGGACGAAGGGATTTGAGGGGGGGGGGGGGGCGCCATGGTCAAAGCAGTTTGTAGTTTACGGCGAGTCAGCACGATAGTGTTCTTTTGTTTAAATAAATAGAAGCACATCGACACAATAACAGCCTTTAAGTGCTAGTAGAACGCCAGATAGACAGATGCAAAGAAGGGTAACTACAAAAACAACCAAAATAGCAACAACCACAACAACAGCAACAACAACAACAACAACTACAGTAGCAGCAGCAGCAGACGCGATAATTATTACATTATGAGACAGTTTAACGGCTAAAACACTACTCTGTCCAATAACAAGAACAGGTAGATTGACGCCAGTCGTCATGTCGAGGCGAAATCAATAGAACCAGTTCTATATTCCGGCACTTCCGTTTCTTCCCATTGTTTCTGTCCGTGTCTTGTAAGGCCAATGGCGTCACTAGTGTCAGCTCTCATGACAGAGCCGCGGGGGTGGAGATCGTTCTGGGTTGCACACCTGTCAGACAGTCTTAGCCCCACGCCACAAACAAACAAACAAACAAACAAACAAACAAACAAACAAACAAACAAACAAACAAGAAGGCTTCTTTCCGCGAGGCTTAAGAATAATAATGTCACCAAATGTCATTTATGATATTATAGAAGAGTTATTTCCTACCTAGACTCTAGCAGCTTGCCCTGGTTGTGCTAAAAATATCCATGTATATTATAAAACTAGCTTGAACTCATACAGTTATTTTTTTGGTTCTAAAGTGTCGCGTATACATCAAGTGTATTTATTGCTTTGTGGTTTCATACACATACACGAGTACGCACACACACATACACATACACACACACACACACACACACACACACACACACACACACACACACACACACACACACACTCACACAAATTCTCTCTATAGCCCCCCCCCCCCGCCCGGGCCCTCTCTCTCACACTCTTTCTCTCGGCATCGAGGATATCAAGTTAGTAAAAAAATGAAAACAACAAAAACAAACTAATAGCTGTGAGCCTACGGTCTTCATTTTTTGTAAGATAACAGGCATGAAACACCCTTCAGCAGTAGTATTATTTTCTCTAAAGTATTTCATTTCGATACTTTTGACACTTCACCCTGAACAGTAGCTCATTGTGGTGTAAAATAAATCTGTTTTTATCGTATAACGTTTCAGTGACGTAGTGAAAGCGAAGAAGCTCGAGAGTCATCATCTTGCAAAGCTGTTTAAAATTTAAACATATTTGTTTAAAAAAACAAATCAAATGCTTTTGTTTGTCATTGTAAATATACATTTGTGTGTGTGTGTGTGTGTGGGGGGGGGGGGGTGTTGGGCCCTAAAAGGCAAATTTTGGAACATTTAATGACGATTATTTTAGTACAGTTATGGTTTTTCTACACTCAGATAGGTAAATATGAGAATTCCTTAATCTGTAACATTGTACCGCCATACTCGATAGAGAATGGTAGATTTGAAGGCGGATACAACCCCGCTGAGTTTGGAGGTCTGTTTATTCGTTAATTCTAACACCCAGTCAACAGATCGTCTGGAAAGAGATTATAAGTAATAAATGCAAATACTTTTACGCTCCCATTGACACGATCTAAATCATTTAGGAGGTTGGCCTCCAACCCAGCCAGTCAGGGCCAACCCAGCGTGAGAGTGAAGCATCCCAACAAATAGACCGAGATGCTTGGAAAGACAATTTTTCGATTCGGGAATCGATCGCAGGTCTCCTTCTTGCGACAGCGAAGCACCTAGCCGCTACACCACAGACGCTGATATCTGAAAAAAGAGCTGGACAAAACGCTAGCCATGCTGTAGGTCTCACCAGTGAGATATCGTGTCCAAGCAGAACGGCGGAGATATTCGATAAAACAGATTTCTCCTCTTGAAAATCGTACTCACGTCTTTTGAATGCAACATTAAATTACAGGCATTACCCCCTAGTGAAGCGAGTGTTTTACGGTACTTGTAACACAGTTAGGACATATAGGTGCGGAAGACTAGAAGTGTTAAAAGAG